AAAACTTGTTGTGGCTGAGTGAGAAAAAATTTAAAGTATCGGATGTCATGAAAAAAGCTCATGTTATGTCCCACAAAAATGTGGCATTCAATATTTTCTCAGTATCTCGGTCAAGGTTGATCGCCAAGTCTCAACCTTTTCTAAAAAGGTCCCTCATTCTATTCTCCACACAAAACATATTGATCATTTCTTTATGTACTATAAGAATAAAAAAGAAAGGGTAAATCCAGAAAAGCTTCAATATCGATTACTCTCAAATCTAAAACACAGGTCTTTAGTTTTTCAATTTCAGTCCCTTACATTTTCAGATATAAAAAAAGAGAAGATGGTTTTGTAGTTCTCGAAAAGTCTGTCAACTAATTATATTTAAAACTCTTTATAGGCTTAAGCGGCTGCAGGAAGATTTTTTTCTTGTAGTGGAACTGTAACAGAGTAGTGGACTGACCGAGCGCGGGTGGAGGGGTGATACTACATGAGAGTGAGCCGCTTAACACGCTTCTTCAAGTAAGAAGTGCGAAACAGTAGAAATCTACTGATGTACATAAAATTTTAGTGTGAAAGTAACAAAAAGTATGAAAACGATGAAAAGTATGAAAATCCATTCTGACCACCTCATTTTTTTTGAATTTTCACGTCGAAAAATTACTAAGATTTTCACTAAAAAATGAAAATCAACGAAATTTTTCAAAATATATATCATATGAGTCATTCTCTTACGCTGATTCTGAATATGATAGTTTTATTACTTAAAAGTTGAACCCTGGTGAGAAAACTGAAAATTACGGCAGAAATCCGAGTTTTGCGCTCCCGATTTGGAAAAATTAATTTTCTCAGTAAGAAACACGATGGAAAAAGCGATATGTACTTTTAGAGCTCGTTTAATGGCGGTTCTAATGAAGTGCAAAAATCGGCTCCTGAAAGAAATAACTGGATAAGTTTGCAAAATTGTTTAGGAATTCTTTACAAGGGGAGTCCAAGACGTGCATGCTGGATAGGCTTCAACCTCGATCAAGCATCAACCTCATACTTAGTTTTTAATGAACCAGAAAAAAATACTTTCAAAAAGTTAGGGGGGACACAAATGAGAAAAATCTAAAATGTTTTGAAACTAAGCGGTTTTTTCAAATTTCACACCCTTCGAATTTTTTCAGTTTTTCTCACTTAAAACTTTGTCCAAAACGTTAAAAAACACATATTTATAATCATATCATCGAGCTCTATCCAACCATATATGAATGAACAAAGAATAAAATCTGCTCGAATTTTGCATTTCCGATACCTTATACCGACGCTAATTTTCATAGTAGGTTCGAGAGGCGCCTGACTTTCGTTTTTCGTGGCTATTAAAAAAGTTTTCGACTCGGTAGGATGGTAGAAAAGCCGTTTAGCTCCAAAAATAGATGTCCACAAGAGCAAAAGAACTTAGTATTAGATAATGTAGTTATTTGCTCAACAATGAGTCATTCTCCAGTTATCTTTTTTGCGCTTCACTCAAAACAGAATGTTGTTGTTGGATTATTAACTCGTTCTTCACAGCCTACATGTTTACAGAACCCGATATCTAGGTTGTTGCATGATTGTTAGCAGTGTTTTTCCCCTAAAATAATAAAAGTAAAGGGCGAGGTTGGCTATTTCCTATATGATTTTTTATATATATATTCTGCATTCTGCACACCATTTTATCCATTAAGTATTAAATTTTCTGATCGATATGTTGGTGAACAGAGAAAAACAAATCGCTCTCAAGGTAGGTTATCAGATTTTTTCGGAAGGCTCAATAGAAGACGTTTGTTTTTACTTTTATTTTAAAGTAATTTCCTTCGCAATAGGCGTGTTACATGAAAAAGTATAACTTCATGTTATTTGGACCAAATTTAATGAATCTCGATACATAAGGGTTTTAAAGGACGGTCTTTCTTTTGGCTCATTCAGATTTTTTGTTAAAATGTGTGGAAGTACGTTTTCCAGAAAACAATCATTTTTAGGATACATGGACGCAGGAAAAGGTTTTCTTTAAAAAATTCTCTAGATCTGAAAGGTTTTTAGAATCACCAGGCTACATTTTCAAAAAAATTCGGGTCTTCAGCACAAAGTTGAAATTTTAAATTGAAATTTTCAATCGAAGTTTTGATTTCAAAAAAAATTTAACTTGTTTTGAAATTTGAATAACTCGCCACCGGTAGATGCTATAAGCCTTTTAAATACGTCATTCGATAGACGTTTGTTCAGTTCTCAATTGCGAATTTACTATAAAATACATCGCGTTGTTGGTTTTTTTCCACGTTTAGGTATTCAGAGTTAATGCTGCAACTTGGCTCCAGTCGGTTGTCATAACTCGAATGACAATCCAGTTGCAGCATTAACTCCGCATACCTAAATGTGGAAAAAACCCTACAACGCGATTTTGTGAATACCACGTTAATTGGCTATCGAATGGCGTGTTTAAAAAGTTTATAGCATCTACCAGTGGCGAGTTATTCAAATTTTAAAACAAGTTAAATTTGAATTTAAAATCTTAACTTTGAGCTGAAGACCAGAACTTTTTGAAAATGTAGCCCATTCTGTTCTGAATACGATGGTGATTCTAAAAATCTTTCAGATCTAGAGAATTTTTTAAAGAAAACCTTTTCCTGCATCCATGTATCCTAAAAACGATTGTTTTCTGGAAACTGTACGTCCACACATTTTGAAAAAAAAGTCTGAATGAGCCAAAAGAAAGACCGTCTCTTAAATTTTCTCTACCAAACTGAAATGAAAAGAAATTTTTAGTGTTGTCTGTAATAGAAATATAAGCATCCAAAAGTGAGCAAAACTGCGAAAAAATAATCGATTATCGATTATTTTTCTGCGATTTTAGTGCGTTTTTAGTTTATCATATTTTCTATATATATAATATTAAAATTCTTCTAATACTTCAGTTTGGCAGAGCGAATATTTTCCTACAAAACGAAACATTCGATGGGGGAAGTTTCAAAACAATTTCGGCAAAATGTACTTCTAATAGGGGATGGACTTCAAGTACGTGGGGGTTACCACTGGACCACTAGCAGGCGACAAAATTTGACCGCAATAGAAGATCACCCTGTAGAAATCGACTTGCCGGACAAAACTATTAAAGCGGGGTGGGATGTTTAGCTGTGTACTTCATCTCATGCACCTCCAATCCCCAACCTATTCGGAAAGAGAAGTCTAACCTCTGATGTCAGTAGCTTTTGCTGATACATCCTGTCCTATTCGAATAACCTATCAGGCCTGCTTTCTGGGCAATTCAAAAATAGTATTTCTTTACTCACTTTCATGCACCCCGCCGCGTCCCCTTCTGTAAATATCTAAATATCGAACCAGCCCATAAAAAATGAACCTACACAAACTGTAAATATCTAAATTTCTAAATGGAAAAAAATGCAGCTTTTATTTTCAAAAATATCAAATACCACCTCTCGAGATGCAAATTCATCTCGTTTTGGATTCTGGAATGTAAAGTCAGTTTTTTCTGCATTTCAGAATGCAAAATGCTAAAAAAAGCCGAAATTTCAAGTTGCATTTTTCTAACAAGAAAATGCCACATGCGCACCTTAGTCATTATGTGAGAGAGATAAAGATTGATATGGGTGTTACTCGGCAAGCAAGTACTTCCAAAAGTAAAATTTTTACCAAAATTTTGAAGTAAGGTGGCCGTAATTCGACGTTTTCATGGCTTTTCTTTTGATATATTTATATATGATTGGATACAGAACATCGAGCTGAGTAAGAAAAGTTAGTTTTAAGTTTTGCAAAAATCTTTTTCAGGCGAAAGTTTTGGAAAACTTTAAAGGACCGATTTTGCTCAAAATCAGTTTCAAAAAATTCGAAGTTTGCATTTTCTCTTTACTTTAATTTTTTTGAATTTAGCATTGAAAACTGAGTATAGAGAAGGTGTTTGATTGATCTCAAACCTAAAAGCTGATTTAACCTGCTTCATTTGAACTGAGCCTCTCAAACAACAGCAAGACATTTTGCAAATCTATCTAATTTTCTGTGTCAATACATTTTATTATTTCTCTTATGTCATTAAAACCGTCTTTCAACTTGAATATGGTATTTTATTACATAAAAAATGAGTTCTACTGGAGAACAATGAGAATTACAGGTAGAATTCTGACTTTTTCGCTTCTGCTCTAGAAACAATAAATTTTCTTGGTGAGGAAACAAAATTAAAAAAGATTGATACGCCGTGTTAAAACAGACAGTTTGACGGTTGAAATGAGATACGAGAAATGGTAAAATGTATTGACATAGAAAATTAGATAGATTTGCAAAATGACTTGCTTTTGTTTTGGAGACTCAGTTCAAATGGCGCGGGCTAAACCAGCTTTTAGGTTTGAGATCAATCAAACACCTCGTCCATACTCAGTATTCAAAAAAATTAGTTTGAAAACTTGAAAGTAAGGAGAAAATGCAAAATTTGAATTACGGGCACCTTACATAGACTACAGTGATCATTCCCTACGCAAACTTTTGTTGATGAGTCGCTGCTGACTGTGTTTCTCGTACTTAGTCAAATTTCCTGTACTGCAGTATGACTAAGTGATTTTATGAATGATGCCGTGCTTTACAACGTTTAGTGTTATCCAGAAATTCTGCTGGTAATCAGTTTTCTTTCCGGTTTGGGGCTGTTGATTTCGCAAGGCAATACAAATCATAAAGATGCAACGCTAACGGCAGACATAGAAGTCTTCGTAATAATCGGTGCTATTCCATGGTTCATCGTTCTGCCATTGTGTTCTGGTGTCTTTTTGATTTTGAAAAGACAACAAAATGCTGTGAAAGGACCTTGTGGTTCTACGGAACGCACTCCTTTGTTAGATGATTCACAAGGAACCGATATGCACCTACTCGTATCCGACTCAACATCTCCCAATGCAGATCAGACGACCATCAATAGAGCACTCGCGTCTACGAAATCACAGACAAACGAAAAAAAACAGGTTTGTTGCCAACATTGGGGATTCTTTTTTGCAATGGTTGTAGTTTCAGCTGCATACGTTCTAAACTCCGGTGCTGATTATTATACATCATACAACGAAATTACAAACAAAACACGGATGACATACCCCTGGCATATAACTCGTACGACGTGTCATATAGTAGCGTACACAGTCAATCCATTTCTTCTTATACCAGTACTTATTCATCTATTGGTAACTTATCGTAATATTGCAATAAAAAGTGACAAATTAAGGAAACTGTTTGTGGAAAATCACCAGGACATGGAATTGGGTATTGCTGAAATAACAGAACGGTCTGAAAAATTATTTTTCTTCAATAAAAATGTCAATGAGAGAATTGAAGTACGACCTGAAGTGAGACATGCGAATATTTTTGCAACTGTTTATCTTGCATGCTGTTTGACTTGGTCAATAGGCACTGTTTATTACGTTTTTAAGACTAGAGCGCCAGTCTTAGCTGAACTTGGTCTGTATTTAAAATGTATTGCACATTTGGTATCCTACGCAACACTGGTGTTATTCATGTGGCAGACGAACGGAATTATTGACGAAATGAAAGAAACCATCACAATGAGATTGAGTTTAAAGTTGTTAAAGAAGGAAGAGCCAACTACTGATATCGCTGCCTTACAAGCTGTACTGAAATACAGTGATCCGTATGCAGAAATATTCAAAATGAAACCCTCAGTGCCGGGTATCGTTATAACAGTTATTTCAACTGGAGCACCTATATTAGTGTCATTGATTAAGAAAGAAATATTTGGTGGCATATGACGACAGCAATCATTGTACGCTGTGTTTCCCGACACTTATAACCACTAGAAAATCTACTATATAGTCTACATATACGTTGGAACACAGTTCATCAGGGTAAAAAAGAAACCTCATAACTTGTTTTAATTTCGTTGATTCAAAAATTTTATTATAATAACGATATTTGTGCATTGAATAAATACACAATGAAAACACGTTTTGCGGGAGCATCGAGTACTTTTCAACGATCCCAAAACATGTCTAAATTTCGATTTGACCGAAAAGAAGCCTCAAAATAATCGTCATGTCGCGAAACCTACAAGGTAAAAATTTTCCCTTTGAAAGTACTTGCTTGCCGAGTAACACGCATATCAATCTTCATCTCTCTTCAAGTTGCTCAAAAATTAGTCAGTTTCAATAATCCACATTTTTATTTTCGATAAAATCGTCCGAGCTTAAACAACTATACACCATTTGATAGGGAGTTAAATTTTTCGCCGTCAAACTCGTATGTTTGTGAAAGCATGAATTTGTATGTAACACCGATTTTTGCCATGCCTAAAGCATGTTTTGGCCTCGAGGTTTTAGGCATCTTGAAAAGAAAATTTTCCTCTTCGAAATAGGCTTATTGCAGATTCGAACAAGCTTCGACTAGTGTCTAAAACTGGCACATGGGGTGTCGTCGTCGAACGCCACAAGTGAGCATTACTGAGGAAAAAATGTTTTTGCACGCTTCTTCGATGTTTTGAAGCAAATATACATCAGATTCGTAAACAAAAATCAGATATTATCTGACCCTGTTTAGAAGTTTTGCGCTATACCTTTTAGAATTCTCATACGAAATCTTTTGTACTTCCAGTAACGTCTTACTGGTTTAGCTCTAATAAAAATGACTATTTACCATAAATATTTAAAGAAAATCAAACCTTGTGTACTGATCGATGGTGATTCTGGCCGGCATGAACTGTTTGGTGATGTGCACCCATACACATTGGATTGTCTAGCGGTACCGGATCAGTTTCCTGGTGCCAAGCTTTGAGATTCAAAATTGGTAGAAATACATCTATTCATTATCATATCTATTATAATTCGATTAATAAGGAAGTTGACGCTTATTATCAACTATTACCAAGTATATATCCTCGACATGTTCATCTTTATCAATCGATGAAAACTCGAAGGAATGAGGTGGATGGCATATTTGTATGAAAGTTATGGCAAATAAGTTTATGAATGACTGTGATTGCATTTGGATTATTCATGGAGTTGCAAATTATTACCAGGAATTAATTGCTTATTAGATGGAAGACGTAGTTGACGCTCAATTCAAAAACTTGGGTATAAAATCATACCAAACATCTCATGTAATACAACCACCACGGCAATGTGACTAGGATAGTTATGAAAAATTATTTAGTACAACACATCAATGGGGTTTTCAACAAGTACAAGAACCAATGAAACAGCTAGTGGGAGAGAAAGAAGATCAATTCTTAGTGCCAAGAGTCATCAACAAATTTCAATGTAACTATGGTAACTGTCAGGAAACATTTCATTCTAAGAAGAAACTACGCAGTCATCGAACAGTAGCAAATCATTCCGACCTTACCAATACTGAATCACATGTCAAAAAGGAAGAGTCATTATTATCTATGGATCGTCTGAAATGTACATACATCTGGTGCAATCGATCGTTTAAGAGAGACTTCGCTACTCAATCGAGCACTGCTTCTGAAGACCAGTGGAATGGTCAAAATTAACCTATATTTTTTTCATATCTTTCGATTCTATGATCAAATGTGGGTTTAGGAAAAAATTTGTTGCCCGTCCGAACTTAATTTGACTGAGTAATAGAATTTATAAAACGAGCACCATCGAAGATTTCTGGAAAAGCGCCCTGTTCAGCGTTTTGTTTATAACTCAGTCAAATTTTGTCCTTTCTATTCGCGTAAAATCTCATTGAAAAGCTGAAGCGGATGACTCATTTAGTTTTGATACATAATTCAGTTTTCCAAAGAAATTGAGTTTTCCGAAATTTTCCATTTTTTAAAACACCATTTATTCTGAACCAGATAACGGTTTCTAGCAGCGTTCTCTTATCGTGCATTTTGTAGAGCGTCTGTTCCTCTGCAGAATGCAATAGATAATTTGAGAATAAAAGTTTCGGAATATGGCAAAATTTAGGAAACCACGGCAGATGCTCTACTTTTACCACATTTATTAATGCAAATAATTGCCAGTAACATCGATGTTGACATCGCTAAAAATAAGCCCTTGAATTGATACACCATCAGCTCGACTAACATTTCGTTTCTCGTCTTCTTACTCGTTATTTGTATAAAACTTGATCGTCAACTCAAGTCACGTCTATTGAGATATAACGACTGATACAACGAACTGCGCGTATAATATAACGAATAAAGGATGAAGTCATTAGTGTGGACAAAGCATCTAAAGACGAATCGACGAATCGCAATATTTGAGCGTAAAAATGATACAATAATTCGCATTTTACCATCATTTTGCGAATTTGCAGCGAATTCGTAATTCACTGCGAACTGATGCGAATTACACATGATGTGCGCAGTACAGGCATGTGGACTTGTCTTTCTAACATCATAAACGTTATTGGTATGATAGTTCCGCCTTTAACTGGGTGAGTCAGGCTCATTTCGTAGTACAATATTCGTTTTTGAATATCATTGGCTTGAATGATACTGCTCGTCGCATCCCAACTAATTTCACTTTCGGCAACAATTTTATCCCAAAATAGACAATAAGATATAAACCACCTTTATCATAATGAAAATAGCTATTTTCCGTTAGAGACGTTTCGTCTTTATTCAAAAGACATTATCAATCAAATGTGACAAACGATAGTTGATTCTGAAGA